AACCTTTAAACGTGCTTCACAACACTGCGCTGCGATTAATATTAGGAGCATACAGAACCACACCGGTAGACAGTCTGTACTGTGAATCGGGAGAAGCACCATTACACATAAGACGTCAGATAATGAGCCTCACATATTTTAATAAGAAAATCGCAAATATCAATACATCAGCCCATACATATTTAGACACTACAAGGTCCTATAGGAATAGCAGGCACTCCTTTTCACAACAGAATCAGAGTCTACTTAAGAAGTCTCGACATCCAGAACGTACCGTCAACACTTACTACTGTCACCGATACCATCCCGCCTTGGATTATATGTCAACCAGTTACCAATACAACACTCATCAAGTTCAACAAAACCGAAACACCCAATGAAGTTATATACCAGAATTTCTGTAATATCATAAGCGACTATCCAGGGTCAAAACAATTATACACTGATGCTTCAAAAACAAAGCAAAGCGTAGGAGCAGCAGTCATCACTCCCACATCCACAATAAAACTGAAGCTCCCAGCAGCAGCATCCATATTGACGGGTGAGCTTTACGCAATCAGAGAAGCTGTCCAGTTTATCAAAAACAGTCCTTATCAGAGGTGGGTAATAATTACAGACTCCTTAAATTCAATCGAGTCCATAAACAAACTGAATCCCAAAAATCCACTGGTCAACCTAATCAAGGAGGAAATACACCGGAACTTACTTCTAAAGAAGGAGATAACTCTATTATGGGTTCCCTCACATAAATCCATATTGGGCAACGAAATGGCGGACTGGGGCGCAAGATCAGCGGCGGACGCCAAAATGCAGACAATTCAAAAGATTCCTGTTTCCGATATCAAGACATACTTCCACAACATGGCAATAGAACAGTTTAACAATAAATGGAGAAGCGGATCAGCGAAGCTTCTTGAAGTGAAATCTCGTCTTGGTTCCTGGCAGATCAACACTACAAATAGAAGGCACCAGGTTCTGCTGACCCGTCTTCGTCTGGGACACACCAGGGCCACACATGGTTACCTCATATCGGGAGATCCCGTACCTCTTTGTACAATTTGTGAAGTGTCCCTCACCGTTAAGCACATTTTAGTGGAGTGTTCCATGCTAGAATACCAAAGAGTGTCCTCCAACTTAGGATCTAGCTTAATAGACATTATAGGCTCAGAATGTAACATAAACAATCTACTCTTATTTTTACAAACCACCAACTATGCTCATAAAATTTAGTGTAACACTGTGTACTGCTCCGCCGCTAATGACCATCAGGCCGATGCGGCAATTGTATTTTTTTTTATTGAATAAAAAAAAAATAAAAAATATTGCGAAATTATTCTTATTCAGTCTATATTGCTGAGGAATGACGCCTCCAATCTTATTGTAGTTATGAGTACCATAAAATAATTACAGGGTGAACCAGAAAGAGGGATTTCAAACCGCGTTGCTCGTGACAGGCACGCGGGAGCGGGACATAGGTAGTGGTGATAAGTAGCTTGGTGCTCGGAAATTCAGTCACCATGGAGCGTTTCATCGGTGAGCAGCGTGCGTTCTATGTTAAGGCTTATTACAAAAATAGATATTCGTGCACAATTGCGGCGGTGTCTGTTTCGCTCTAAGTTTAGTTTACATGATCTAAATCAATGTCCTAGTGAAAGTGTAAGTGTAAAAGACCTTAAATTGCACCCATATAAACTTCAACTATCTAGTGCCGGAATTGAAGCCGCAGGGCCACCATCTACGTTATGCTCTTGCCGAAACAATTACTGGCATTGGGCCGCAGAAAATCCCAAAATAGAAAAACGACCTATGCCTTCGCGTTATGTTACAGTTTGGGTGGCCACGTCGACTGAAGGAATCATCAGACACTATTCTTCCAAAAACGAGCAAGGCCTCACTGAAACAGTAAACTCTAATGGCTACACAGCAATGCTAAGTAACTTCCCACAACTGCATAATTTTGAAGCCTACCATTGCAGGACCTGGTTTCAACAAGATGGCGCGACATCCCATACCGCCAACAAGTCGTTAACAGTTAAGAACGAAATGCTTAGTGGAAAACTTATATGGCGACCAGGCGACATTTCGTGGCCTCCTCGGAGCCGAGACCTCATGCTACTGGATACTTCACTGCGTTTACGAAACCGACGATTATTGCCCAGCTCAAGCACAAGATTTCGGAGATCTCCGCTATCCCACAAGCGATGTACCAGTGAGCTTTCACGAATTTGAAGTCGAGGTTCGAGGGGTGCGTACGTCTCGATGACTCATATCTCAATGATGTTATTTGCTAAAAAAAAAACTTTCCTACGCTTTGTAGTTTTTTTCTAGGATTTTCTAAAATTCGCTCACTTAATGGCAATAGAAAAAATACACGGTAAATTTAAAATTTCCTGACAAGGCTATTCACGTGACATTTTGCAGCTTGTGACCAGCCAACCTTTTGTTGATTGTTCAGTCCAATTTAGAGTAGCAGGCGTTTATTGTCACTGGCATTATTTGTCAGCTTGTTAGTTTGACGTTTGATATTTTCCGATTTTCCAATGTAATCTGTAGTAATAAACATAAACATTCGACTAGCAACCTAATGAAAAATACCACCAAATCACATTGCGAAGTGCGTCCATATCCACATCATCGGCACTGTAGCTCAGAATATTTGATTAAAAAATAATGTAATATAAGTTGACTGTATGTAAATAATCGACAGAAGATGCATAAAAAAACATGCACATCATTTATTTTTAACAAATAGTCCGTCAATCCAATGTATGCCCCTAGGTGTTGTTCCTCCTTCGCTGTGCACTAAAGGCACTATCTACTATGACAAATACTCTGGTAGCTGCCCATGCCACGACGTTATGGAGACCCAGAAAATGCTGGAAAGGTCAAGGGTTCGAATATGGCGATATTCTCCGTTCACGACTGTTGCCGATAATTGTTTTTTTCGTTTTTTTAGTGCAATTGTACATTTTCTGTAATATAATTTCTAGTAAATGTGTGAGTGAGTTTTGAATACCTTTTCCAATGTGTACCACCGGTGGTACACGATGGGTTTGATGACTCTTTTTTTCATTATAGCCGTAGTGTACCACCGGTGGCCACCGAGGAAAATGAAAACTTCAGAACACAAGCGGTGTCAAAGAGGCTAGAAATAAAGCCAGGCGTACCTCCACATTTTGTAAAGATTGTCCAGACCAACCGACACTATGTCTTCAATGTTTTAAGGAAATTCATAAGTAAAGTTATGTTACCTACCTAAATATATAAGTGCTTACTTCCATTGTTAGAAAAAATATTTTTGCGTTATTTTGCACTAATTATTTCAACCCCTTACTTAGTTTAATTACTTTATATGGTTGTTACAGTCTGTTTCATAAATACGAGGGATTTCCTTTAGGTTTTGCATATAGAAACATAGTAGGCCGCGCGGATCGAATATCAGCACTGAATCTTAACCTCACTCTTTAGTAAACTTAAATTCAAGGTTTCACAACAATAGTGTTTTCACTACAGTGAATTTTTAAGTGTCACCAAGTCATTAGAAAAATAGAAACAACCGAGAACATTTTCGCGCCATCATTTATTACAACTTTCAGAGACAAGTATCGCAACAAGAATGCCTTGCTGAGTTACTGTCCGTTTTCGGCAACGAAGCGCCACATCAGTTGACAATTTCTCGTTGGTATGGAGAATTCAAACGTGGACGGGAGAGTCTTAGCGATGATCTCAGGGTCGTTGCACCAAAAACGGCAGTCACCCAGGAAAACGTCGATGCTGTGCGCAAACTCATCATTGAAGATAGACATGTGACATATCGCGAGATTGAGCCGTCCTTGAAGATCTTTTGACCTCAATTGAAAAGAAATTACATGAAGAATTAGGAGTAAGAAAATTAGTTTCTCGTTGGATACCCCACCCGGTGACTGAAAAGCAGAAAGCAGCCAGCGTTAATTGGTGTCAAAAAACGCTTGACTGTTTCAATTCCGGAAACTCAAAAAATGTGTACAGCATTGTTAGTGGTGATGAATCGTGGACTTACTGTTATGAACCAGAAAATAAACGAAAGTCGGCTGTGAGAACACTGCACGTATCGTTGTGAAACTTTGAATTTAAGTTTACTAAAGAGTGAGGTTAAGATTCAGTAGTGACGTTCGATCCGTGCGGCCTACTACTTCATTAATCCATACGAAATGTGTAAAAACAACTTTTTACTTAAAACATGACCAGATTAAGAGCTAAAAAGTAATTGCAGACGTCCATTTGCTACTGAAAGGTTTGTATTGATTAAGATTTGTAATGACTTAATATATCTTTATGGCTAATATCGTTTAGTTAATGGATTATTATTTTACTTAAATTTATGGAATTGGTTGTTTGTTTAGAAGGAACGCATCCATACTGATGTTTTAAATCTTTTTGCATGATTTTTGGAACGGTATTAAGTAAACTGAATCTTCACTCGATACTTTTATTTGTGTCTAACAAATTTATTTACCATAATTTTGTACAGCAAGGATAAAAATCAACAATTCAGTTTTTGTAATAAACGTCACTGGACATGTTGATGGATTGTATAAAACATATTCTTTTTTTGTCTAGTAGTGACACTGTTATTTCCAATAAAATGGTTAGTAGCCCGCAGATCCTTCCTTTGATTCGTCGGATCTGCGCCTCTGTTGCAAATTTTGGGTCCGGCCTCAAACTAGGAAATAGGTAGCTAAACCAGGTTATATATGAAGTAATTTTTTGATTCATGGAAATCGCATTTTTTTTCTGATTTGAGAGATATTTCACAAGAAATTGACCACAAGGTTAAGTTGAAAAACGCAACTCATAACGACATTTTGCCTTTTTTATACTTTTGTACGAAATAAGGCCCAATATTATTATTATTACTATTACATTCATTAGTGCCATTCCTTCAAAAACTTCTGACCATACATGTATAGATTGACGTTTCGTGGCCTTCAACTTTAAAATGTATTTGTGCATGTCGTTACCTGTGAAAAAGACCTTTGCTGTGTGGTGTCAAATAATGCAAATGTAAAGAAGCTGCACCTGCAGAGAATCCTGTCAAAGTTACCGATTTCGGGTTACCATTGAAGCTTTCGATGTTATTTTGAACCCAATGTAGAACCAGAGTTTGATCCCTCAAACCATTATTTCCTGGTACTACTTCATCGCCGGTACTGAGGAAACCTAGAAACATGCATAAATATCTGTGAAGCGTGCTATTTCTAATTTTAACAGCTATCAGCTTGATCGGGGCCGTATAGTGGGACTTCGGGAAGCTGGACTTTCTTTTCGGGCAATTGCAGTTAGAGTGCAAAGAAGTGTAGACACTGTGGTTAGGTGTTGTCAGGCATGGCTTCGAGAAGGCCGTACGCAAAGAGCAAGAGGCACTGGACGCCGCCGTAGAACAACAGACCGTGAAGATCGCCGCCTAAGATTATTGGCCTTAAGGGACCGTTTCTCCACTACCAGGTCCATTGCAAATGAATGGTTTGCAGAACACGCAAGACCTATTGGCATGCGAAGTGTTTACCGACGAATGAGAAGTTTTGGCTTGTTTTCATACCGGCCACACTGGGTCCTCCCTTTAACTCGAGAACACCGACGTAATCGCCTTGAGTGGTGCAGACAACGGTCACTCTGGGATCAGGAATGGAACAGTATTGTCTTTAGTGACGAGTCTCGATTTTGTTTAGGCATGCACGATGGTCGTGCCAGGGTTAGAAGGCGACGTGGTGAAAGGAGGAATCCACAGTTTTTTGTTGAAAGACATGTTCATCACACTGTTGGAGTTATGGTTTGGGGTGCTATAGCTTATGGTTCCAGGTCACCTTTAATCTTCATCAGAGGTAACATGAACGCGCAGCGTTATATCCACGAAGTTCTAGAACCCCATCTTTTACCCTATCTTGACACCCTGGCAGATCCAACTTTCCAACAAGATAATGCCCGACCACATGTTGCAAGAGTCACAATAGACTTCTTTCAACATAATGATGTCACATTGTTACCATGGCCACCAAGATCTCCCGACTTATCCCCAATTGAGCACGTGTGGGATATGATGGGTAGGAGAGTGCTCAATTTGCAACGTCCTCCTCAGACTCTAGAAGCACTTCGAGAGGAGTTGGTAGCTGCCTGGAATGAGATACCACAGGAGGACATTGACCACCTGATCAGAAGCATGCCTAGGCGCGTTGGAGGATGCGTAGCACATCAGGGTGAATCCACACATTATTAAAGGTCGAAGGGCTTTAAAGCAGTGCAATCATTTTGAAATTTTTATCATTTACTTATTATGCTTCATTAAGTACTTATACAAAATTTTATTAAAATAAAGCTATTTAAACTGGGTGTTCGGATTTATATGTCACTTAGTATAGATTAATTGACCCTGAAAGACGGTTATCTGTTCAGAATTTCAAGCCAACATACCATGTTCGGTGGTGACAAACACACACGCACACACAATAGTCTCATCAAAGTTGCTTCATCTAATGCTTATGATATTTGATCAGATCTAGATGTCAATTACTGTTTTGCTGAAGTATGTGGATTTAATATTATCTCACCTAAAGCGCCAATCCTGTAGTTGAATGTAACTAAGATAAGATCTCTATCCATCACATATTTTTCACCAATAAATTCATTGGAATAACCATATATAAAGCCTCCTCCATGAATATGAATCACAACATCTAACTTCTCTAACTGTTTTCTTACAGGGATGTATACATTCAAGTATAAGCAGTCTTCATCTCCTAAAAAGAATCGGGTGTTACCATATGCCATTCTTATGCGCAATTCCCTCAATCGATGTCCTGCACAGGGTGATTTATAAATCAGAAAATGCAGATGGGCTATCTAACGTTCGAAATTTATACTAGAGGTATCGAAAGCTGGAATGGCATTTTGGCGCGTTAAATAATTGGCCATATGTTTGACATTTTCGAAATGGTACCAGTAATGGGCGTTTACACGTACACTTTAATTGCCTACGCTTCGATGTAGACAATGGCTAAACAGTGTAAACAATACGAATGCTATATATGCAGTGGTGTGAACAAAGTATAGAATAGCATAAATGATTTAAGGTTTACCCGCAAACGATAAAGAGCGACAACTAAAAAATATGGTTGAGCGTGCTAAAAATGAGAAAATTGAACTAGGTTTTATTTTGCACATTGTGATGGAGAAAAATGTCCGGCGAGTGCTGTATCTGTAGACAAAAGTTGTCTAACTTAACTTGAAGTCGCACAGGTGAATTGACTTTTGTCGTAGGCTACCGACGCGCTATTATAACAATTTTCACTTGCCGAATATAGGTTATTAATATAGAATGAGAAGATATATGATGAAGTAGTAAGAAAGCATATGTATTACGAGTGACCGATAACGGCCTTTAAAATTGAAGGATGATGACGACGCTGAGTGGTAACAGTGAAATGTTGCTAATTTACTTAAAACTATTTGATAACAGTTTTCCATTATCTTTATTAGGACCGCCAGGATTGATAAATTCTTCTATAGATCCTGTGTAGGGGAGTAAGAGAGATAGAGCTAGCGCGCGATCTGCGCATGCGTACAGCTTCAGACTTACTCTTTGTTGTTCGGGCAATCGGCACAGCACAACGCAGGCAGAGATACCTTTTCAAGGTAGTGCATTCTCACCTTGTTCATTGCGAATGTTGCGATTAATCCTGAGTTGAGCTTCGACCGTCCACAAGACGCAAGGTTGTACAGTCGATCATGCAGTCATTTATCTTGGCTCGCAACTGTTTGCCGCTGGACAACCTTATGTAGCACTTAGTCGTGTAAGATCTTTAGACGGTATTCGGATTGAAGAGCTTGGTTGCTCTAAGTTAACAGGAAAAACCTCATGCAACACTGAAGCTTTACATGAAATGATTAGATTACGAAATGGTTGGTAAGATATTTGAATACCACATGACCACAAAAAACTAATTGATAATTCGAACTAAAAAATGAAAAATACATAATAATTTGAAAAAACTAAAAAAAAAACACGCTTATAAAGCTAACCGAACTGAAAAGTAGAAAATAATTTTTAATTACAAAGAGTTTATACAACAGTAGTAGATGGTCGAGCAATCAATCATAATTAATGACCTCAAAATAAAATTATAATTCAATTCAAAGTAAATAGCGTGGGGTGCATTTTATTACATTTCCATAACTCTACTCTCATAGATAGTTGCCAACAGAATGATTGTAACACTTAATATATCGAGCACCCCACGCTTTTTACTCTGAAATACTTTTTAGATCGGTTAGCTATAAAAGCCAGTTTTTTTTTTTTTTTTAACTATTATTTATTACATGATGTATACAGTGTTTATGTCTCGTTCGGATGTTGAAATGACTCTAGACGGTTCCAGCGATGATGAGAGTCGATCCACTAGTTCTGGTGGATCAGGTGATGATTCTCATTTCAACTAGGATTTTGGAGAGAGTGGTACCGAAGTGAGCATGAACCTTGATCCAAGTTTTGAAATGCGAGATGTACTTTGTTATTGAATAGATAAGTTTTAAATAAATTTATGTGCATTTAAAACAGTACTAATCATGGCCACTTTTCCGTATGTCTACGCACTTCACTTCTAGTTACCCAATTCACGTGACTTTGACGAATATGTACGCCCTATTGCCACTGGCAAAGACGGATATGTACGCAAACCGTAAATTGACGCGCCACCTGAGAAGTCATCCCAGAAAGTAGCTATGGCCACTTAAGGGGTGTAAAGGTGCGCAATGTAGAGCAATTAATGGAGCAATCTGTAACAATTTCAATAAATTGCGGAAATTGTTTCGGCAACATTGTTCCATATTGCTCAATGTCGCCGACACGAATTGCCGAATATCCATTGGACATGGAAATTTATGTAGTTTCTTATTTCTGTCTCACTTGCACGTATTTATTCTGCGGTACTACGTCTCGTTTCCGGAGGGAGAGCGGGAGCGTGGGCAGAATACGCAGTAATAAATTGTGTTGTGTGTGACTGCACGTGGTTGATTAAACAAGATGACGTCATCGACTCCGAGGAAAAATGAAAAGATTATGAACTTTATTTATGCAGTTCACTTGGGTGCTTGTTTGTGGGATAACAAGAGTCCTGATTTTAGAGATCGCTTGCTTAAAAAAGATGAATGGACTTCTGTAGGCCTGCAGTTTGAAATACCTCATGACGAAGCTGTAAAGGAATTTAAAAATGTACGCACATACTTCAATAGTGAAGTAAAGAAATTAGAGAAGAAGCAAAAAAGCGGCAGTGGCGTTTTTCAAGATAGCAAGTGGTTCGCTTTCAAAAGTTTGATTTTTTAAAAGGCGCGGATGAAGCTGATTCATGACTAGAAACGCAAACACAATCAGAGGTAAGTATTCTACTTCAGTGAAAAATTACGAATAAGCTGATTGCCATGGAATCCTTTTCGTTGCTTTCGACTCAATATAATAAAAGCGCTACAAGCCGCCGCTGCAAGGGGGTTTTCAAATAAATTGGTCGTGTATGAATGTATTGGCTGATTCCTTGAAGTTGCTCCGTATCGCTCAGTATTGTTGTTGCAGAACATTTTTGGCAAATGGATGCTTGTTGCCGCTGCCGTAAATTGCTTGATATTTTTTTTACGCACAATGGACCACTATTGCTCCCAATTGAGCAATTTTTATTACCCGTGTAAATTCACTTTAAGGCGATACAATTGTAGAAGGAAAGTATGGAGTAGAATGACTCTGAATGAGATTGATGGTGGCGTTTCGGGTGTTATATTGATGATTTTGAGTAACACATCTGAGAATATAGGTACAGGTATAAAGAAGAAAGTATGAGAATGTTGTTCTGTTTAAAAAACTCTGCAAAATTCGGTAGACATTATGTTAGCAATCGTTTCTGATAAACAAATAGTCTATCACTTTTGATGGAGTTACCTCATATCATGAGATGCTATACGTCAGTGATTATGTGTGAGTGCGAGTAGACACTGAGCTCCTACTATTCAGTGTATCTTTAAGATGTAACAAAGCCGAACAGGTTCTATTCAGGCTGTTCCCGTTCTGTGCGTTCAAATGAAAACACATGCCTGAAATGGTTTATCCCTTAAAAATTCAAAATAGTGGTAAAACTACATGGCATGTATTTTTGAGATTTTTTTATTTTTCCTAGCATCACTGCCTGTTATAGTGTGTATCTCGCATTTACACATTGGGGCCAACGTTGGCCCCAACATCGTATAATGTGCCATCATTCAACCAACGCCGGCCTATGCGCATTTGTCCAGCGTTCACACGTTGGTGTTAGCCTAAATATTATGTTATACCCAATATGTGAATACGACATAATCAAGACAGTAGAAAAGGAAACGGAAAGGCTAATAAATGTGTGAATTCCTATATATACTAAGTGACATATAAATCCGAACACTCAGTTTAAATGGTTTTATTTTAATAAAAGTTGGTGAATGTATTTATCTTACTGTAAATAATAAGTGAACAAATTTTCAGCCTTATCAGTTGGACATTCCGGTTTTTATACTGCTTTCTTTTAATTCACTAACGATCTAAAAATGAATATTTCAGCCGCAGTAAAGAATCAACGTTGGCGGATTTTGGTTCTTGACGTCCTTTACGATGCCTAGAGTACGGAGACCTGTACGATTTCGTCAACTTAGTGAGTTTGATAGGGGCCGTATAGTGGGACTTCGGGAAGCTGGACCTTCTTTTCGGGCAATTGCAGTTAGAGTGCAAAGAAGTGTAGACACTGTGGTTAGGTGTTGTCAGGCATGGCTTCGAGAAGGCCGTACGCAAAGAGCAAGGGGCACTGGACGCCGCCGTAGAACAACAGACCGTGAAGATCGCCGCCTAAGATTATTGGCCTTAAGAGACCGTTTCTCTACTACCAGGTCCATTGCAAATTAATGGTTTGCAGAACACAGAAGACCTATTGGCATGCGAAGTGTTTACCGACGAATGAGAAGTTTTGGCTTGATTTCATACCGGCCACACTGGGTCCTCCCTTTAACTCGAGAACACCGACGTAATCGCCTTGAGTGGTGCAGACAACGGTCACTCTGGGATCAGGAATGGAACAGTATTGTCTTTAGTGACGAGTCTCGATTTTGTTTAGGCATGCACGATGGTCGTGCCAGGGTTAGAAGGCGACGTGGTGAAAGGAGGAATCCACAGTTTTTTGTTGAAAGACATGTTCATCACACTGTTGGAGTTATGGTTTGGAGTGCTATAGCTTATGGTTCCAGGTCACCTTTAATCTTCATCAGAGGTAACATGAACGCGCAGCGTTATATCCGCGAAGTTCTAGAACCCCATCTTTTACCCTATCTTGACACCCTGGCAGATCCAACTTTCCAACAAGATAAAGCCCGACCACATGTTGCAAGAGTCACAATAGACTTCTTTCAACATAATGATGTCACATTGTTACCATGGCCACCAAGATCTCCCGACTTATCCCCAATTGAGCACGTGTGGGATATGATGGGTAGGAGATTGCTCAATTTGCAACGTCCTCCTCAGACTCTAGAAGCACTTCGAGAGGAGTTGGTGGTTGCCTGGAATGAGATACCACAGGAGGACACCTGATCAGAAGCATGCGTAGGCGCGTTGGAGAATGCGTAGCACATCAGCGTGCATCCACACATTATTAAAGGTCAAAAGGCTTTAAAGCAGTGCAATGATTTTGAAATTTTTATCATTTACGTATTATGCTTCATTAAGTACTTATACAAAATTTTATTAAAATGAAACCATTTAAACTGGGTGTTCGGATTTATATGTCACTTAGTATAGATAAGTGATAGAAAGGACCGCTAAAATCTACGGTCGCATACAAAGATCAAAAAAGGCATTTCTGTTGCCTATCACATGACTAACTAAAGCAAGACGCTAACAGATTATGAGAATATAAATAAAAATGTACGCAGCAAGTACTATGAACTGGGTTGCAATATGAATACAGAATTATATTTTCTGTATTATCACACTGACTTTTTGCTGAGAATTTTGGTGCCGTTCTGGAGAGCAGATACAAAGGAATGTGGGACTAACGAAACGTCAGACTACTACCGGATGTTGAAAAGACGTAAGCCGGAGATAACACATACGAGAAACAGATTGAACGGAACTTTTGAAGTACGTAGCATTTAGATAGTCTCTTTGGCATTACCTTTGACCACTATTGTTCGTGTTACATATATATAAGTTAAATTTCGCAGGCTTATGTTATCGGGCCTCTCATCATATGCCATCTTTGTACTATTATTTATACCTGAAGGATTTTGAGTTCTGTCAATCATAGTCGTGTGCGGACATTCATATATCTTGGTTGCGTTCCACACACCAACCCATGGTTCCGCAGGATGTGGCTCTGCGAACCTTAGATCGCCAATAGGAGGTTTTGCATATGGAATTCCTTCAAAAGATGCATACTTTCGTCCTTCAAAAGAGGTCCTCCATTCTCCTTCAACTTTTCCTAAAGGTGTAACGGTGGTTGGCCGGTTTCGTTCATCGGATATTTTTGCTGCAATCGAATATATGTATCTGTTACAGGAGTAATCGAAGTCATGTGGACTCTGTACTTGCTAATTGATATGTTACGCAAAAGTAAATCAAAGATATTTAAAACTAAAAAAACAACGGTATGCGAATCTCTGAATGTTTCAAAAACCTAAGAAATTCTATTTGCTGTTCGATTTCTCAATTTTTAAAAGAAAAGCTAATCTTTCATCGCAACATTCACTCACGAGATATTTGTTTGCTAGGTACACTGGTAGCCCATAGAACCGCATTTCCATAAGGATATGCAGTCTCTCTGTAAAGTGACATTATACATTGAAAACCAAATTTGTCTGACGGCTTGAGTTGAATGTGTACGAGAGAGAAATGTGTATAGACACATATGTTAGGAAGAGATTGAAGCCGGTTGGGTAGCGAAGCTCAGCACGTGCAATTTGACGCGTTGCCAATTGGTACGTTGCACCGATTACTTGAATTGAGACCGATGTTGAAAATATGCGTTAGTTTATTCTCTACTTCCGAATAATGGTTTTATATCTGATTAGAATCGGTCCTAACGGTGCTTTATTTTAGGTCAAAATGAAAGATCGGGATCGCTATAAGTTCTGCAACATTGCATCCCGCGTTCGCTTGGCAACACCGCACCTCCTACATTCGAAATTCGAAGACACCTCCATAATCATAGTTGAGAGGTTTTGGTCAGTATCCATCTAGCGCTCGTTGGGTGTGGTTTTCACCTGCATACACGCATAATTTGTATTGCGCAGTGGTATAGTTGTTACATTTTCCGACCGCTCGCTGTCGCAAAATGTAACAATAACTCAGGAAGAATTGATTTTATCACCATCGATGGAAATCATATGTAATTCTATGATAAATTAAAATACAAAGTGGCAACAAAATTGAACTAAGTAATTCTAATCAAAATAAAAACAAAATATTGAATTAAATGTTCGAACAAACCTTGCAGGGTTTGACAGTACGTAACCGAACGTTATAGGCGACGCGGCAGATTGCAGGACATTCGTCACGGTTGCTAGGTAACGTCATGATCACCTCCGCTCTTCATCTCTTTCTAACATGTCTTTGTACACACATCTCGGTGACAAATTTGGTTTTCTCTGTATGTCTAACATGCAGCAAATTCAAAAAAAGTAAAAAATCTGAAAACTTCAGGCTCTCGCATGTGTGAGTGAACCTTTTCCAGCTTTTATATTTATACAGGGTGTTCCAGAAGTCGACGTCAAGCCGAAACCGGGTGATAGGCAAAGTCATAACAGCTATCAGAAAAATATTTAAAAACATTTTATGTATGTGTTTTGAAAATTATAGGTCTTTGAAAAAAATATAGAAATGTCACACCCTACGGCAGTCTGTCAACTCCTGTTACTACGAATATTAACTTTTTTTGGATTTTATTTTTACAATGTAATGATGAATAATGCATCTTCAAACTGGTGTCTCAACCTTACTGCCAACTTTTCTCGTTCAGGAAAAATTGCCACTTATTTCCCAACCCAGTATTCCAAAGTAAGACTTTGCTCAACTTTAACTGGCTGTACTGGAAAAAAATGTACTACGAGAGTTTGGCAAGTAACCTTAAAAGTTGACGCATTTAATAACGATTCCAAAATGGTTTAACACTTAGAAGATTACTCGTTAACTTATGCACAATCTTTATTTGAAGAAAAACTGATGAAAATTTTTCAAAATTTCCTAATTAAACAGCGATTATGAAAACGCACAAGGACCCTTAAGGATAACTGTTTGCACAACAGTGGGAGTCAAAATGCTGCTGATGATGATTTACCTTTACAGCAAATGCTCATACTGTTTTCCGTCAGCCGCAATACACGCTCGACATCTTCTTAAAAAAGATCGGGTTATTAAACGAGCGAATCCACGGTTATTAACAAAGTCAGCTGCTTCCAATAGTCTTTGCCGTAGCTCAGCTACATTTTGAATTGGCCTGAAATACACTTTTTCTTTTACAGTTCCCCAGTAAAATAAATTTAACGGATTCAAATCTGGTGACCGGGCTGGCCACGGTATTGTACCAGGCCGCTCTATCCATCTGCCTGGAAAGTTTTGATCGAGATACTCTCTCACTGAGAGTGCATAGTGCGCTGGGCAGCCATCATGCTGAAACCACATGTCCCTGTAAATACTCAGTGGCACGTCCTCCAATAAATTTTCTAAATGATTTTGCAAAAACCCTAAATAAACCTCAGCAGTCAAAGTCTCTGGGAACTCAAACGGACCGATTATTTTACCATTTAAAATTCCTGTCTAATGGTTTATCTTGAAGCGATATTGAGATTTATCTTCTCTCATCAAATGTGGGTTTGCTACGTGCCACTCGTGTAAGTTATGCAGGTTCATGTACCCATCTTTCTTAAATGTGGTCTCATCTGACCATTAAATTTTTTCAAAGAACCGTGGATCTTCCCTGTGTCTTTCTAACATTGTGCGACAAAAAGCAACTCGGGGCTCATAATCCCGGGGCAGAAGAACTTGAACACGCTGTACGTGGTATGGATGGAGCACGTTTTTTTGCAAGATTCTATGGGCTGTACTTTTGGGCACACCTGTTTTTAGTTCTATTGCACGCACTGAAGTACTCGGGTCTTCTTCGACAGCTCCTAGCACCACGTCTTCGTAAGGAAGGAAAGATCTTCCCTCACCGTGTGATTGGTTTGGTAGTTGGCCCTCTGAGAACAGTAAGCGGTGCACATCTGTGAACACTCGATGATCTGGATGACGAGCTGCATTCGGGTACCTCTCACAGTAAAGTCTCGCTGCAGCACTAGCGTTGCATCTGCATTCCCCATAAATGAGGTGCATGTTAGCATATTCTTGTACGGTGTACACGGACATAGCGGCACTGCACAATCACACTATCAAAGATAGTCTAAGGAAAGCAAATGTTGTTTTGAAGAGCAATTAAACAGTCCAAATCCAAATCACAAACGATCAACAGTCCAGTTCACGAATCCAAAATTAGTAACAGTACGAAATCAACAAGCACGAACATGTAAAGATGCGCAGTAAACGAAGGAGTACTGATCGGTATCAAAGTGTGCAATAGCAAGTAAGTGATGTGCTTCATCCATACCACATACCTCTCCTGCCCCGGGATTATGAGCCCCGAGTTGCTTTTTGTCGCACAATGTTAGAAAGACACAGGAAAGATCCACAGTTCTTTGAAAAAATTTTATGGTCGGATGAGACCACATTTAAGAAAGATGGGTGTACATGAACCTGCATAACTTACACGAGTGGCACGTAGCAAACCCACATGTGATGAGAGAAGATAAATCTCAATATCGCTTCAAGATAAACCATTTGACAGGAATTTTAAATGGTCAAATAATCGGTCCGTTTTAGTTCCCAGAGACTTTGACTGCTGAAGTTTATTTGGATTTTTTGAAAAATCATGTACAAAATTTATTGGTGGACGTGCCACTGAGTAGTTACAGGGACATGTGGTTTCAGCATGATGGCTGCCCAGCGCACTCTCTCAGTGAGAGAGTATCTCGATCAAAACTTTCCAGGCAGATGGATAAGGCGATCTGGTACAATGCCGTGGCCAGCCCGATCACCTGATTTGAATCCTTTAGATTTTTTTACTGGGGAACTGTAAAAGAAAATGTGTATTTCAAGCCGATTTAAAATGTAGCTGAGCTACGGCAAAGACTATTGGAAGCAACTGAGTTTGTTAATAACCGTGGATTCGCTCGTTCAATAACCCGATCTTTTTTAAGAAGATGTCGAGCGTGTATTGCGGCTGAAGGAAAACAGTTTGAACATTTGCTGTAAAGGTAAATCATCATCAGCAGCATTTTGACGCCCACTGTTGTGCAAACAGTTATCCTTAAGGGTCCTTGTGCGTTTTCATAATCGCTGTTTAATTAGGAAATTTTGAAAAATTTTCATCAGTATTTTTTCAAATAAAAATTGTGCATAAGTTAACGAGTAATCTTCTAAGTGTTATACCATTTTGGAATCGTTATTAAATGCGCCAACTTTTAAGGTTACTTGCCAAACTCTGGTAGTACATTTTTTCCAGTACAGCCAGTTAAAGTTGAGAAAAGTTTTACTTTGATATACTTGGTTGGGAAATAAGTGGCAATTTTTCCTGAACGAGAAAAGTTGGCAGTAAGGTTGAGACACCAGTGTGAAGATGCATTATTCATCATTACATTGTAAAAATAAAATCCAAAAAAAGTAAATATTTGTAGTAACAGGAGTTGACAGACTGCCGTAGGGTGTGAAATTTCTATATCTTTTTCAAAGACCTATAATTTTCAAAACACATACATAAAATTTTTTTAAATATTTTTCTGATAGCTGTTATGAATTTGCCTATCACCCGGTTTCGGCTTGACGTCGACTTCTGGGACACCCTGTATACAATAACTGTATTAGTTACGTCAAATACTTCTATTGTCCATTTTGTTTTCCAAAATGTTTTAAATGGTGTTTAACACATAATGTAGTTTGGTTTATATACCTAGTTATGTTTTTGTGTATGTTTCAAAACGTGTTATATGGATGGAAGTGGAAGTAATGATTATTACAGGTTACATTTATCGACGTTTCGATTGACGAATGACCTCTTTTTGCATTTTAGGCAAACTTAAACGCAACATTTCCAAAATTTTTAAAACTACCGAAATTCCTGGTATTTAATCAAGGATACGGAACCTTCCATATAGCAAATGGCTGAAATTTTAGTATATTGTAATCAAAAGTGTACATTGCACTATGGTTCCGAAGAAACGGTTTTTGAGTTACAGTTTAATACATTTGAAAAAGATATGAGCTTTCGGCAGACAGATACATGATGTTATTTCTTTGACGGTTGGTTAGAAGATTAGTAGCTTCTATAATGGCACTTATTAAACAATATTCGATGGTAAGATTCCAATGGAAAGAAAATTCCGATTAAACTGTACGATATTCCAGCAAAAGACTGGAATCTCAATGTTTTCCGCGTTCCAGGGTGCGAAAGTCATCGTGATATTGATGTAATGATAGTATTATCCATACAGGATAATGATATCCAATGGTTTTCGAGTTACTGGAAATTCGCTCATGTCCAACCCGTCCCAACAGATCTAAGACCAACCCTTACAACTATAGGCCTATAGCTCTGTTTTCTGTTATAAGTAAGGTGATAAAGAGGTGCATAAATCGCAAGCTTTTTTTTATATTCCAACTACCACGAATGCTTAAGGCCTAAGCACCCATTGGGTACTATGGGGCTATGGGGGATACATGGGAAAGGGGGGACGCCACACGGACTCTGGCGAGGGACACGTGTGCATGCAACATGCACACATTCTGGCTCCGCCTACGAGAACCGCCGGGTGGTACCTCCGCGTTCGACAGTCAAAAACCACCTACTACCTACGGACAATCACAACATCCATAGCCAAGAGAAAAATTTTCTCCTGGGACGGGACTCGAACCCGCACAGCGCACGGCGACTGATCAGGAGACCGAACAGTATACTACTGCGGCGACCGCTGCTTCTGGACTACCTCGAACGTTACAGTTTGATTAGCGACAGGCAGTATGCTTTCTGATCTGAATGAACACATCTTGTCATTAGCGGCAGCGGCTGAGAAAAAGCTAAGCTATTTGTTTAGGGCTAACAAATTTCGAAAACCGTTGGTGACAACTGTTACAGCCTTCTGTGGGATGCAAATGTTAAACCCTCCCTTGAATCTTCCTCGGGGAGGCATTATTATTTGTTTACGATCCAGAAGTATGATCATGCACGGCATCGATTGACTTAAAATGCTACTCACATTCTACAAAAATTACGGCCAGTAAGAGTATTAAAGCCTTTGCACTCATGTTTCACAATCACCACTGGACGTCTAATAATAGACTAATTGTTCACAGAGGTTATCTTTAATTAAGATAACATTGTAGACAGTTATGCATTGAGTTGATAAGTGTTCATTTATACAATGCTAATTAATTGTTGTATTACACTGCTGCACAGAAAGCTGCTGATTCTAATGTACCCTTCCCATTTGTCGATGCAATCCAAAAATAGTAATAGTCTCTGCCCTTACCGTTTCGATTGCAGAATATAATACAATGCGCGGCAGGGAGGACGCGGACGTTTTTGGGATGGGTAGTACTCTCCGCCTCCATCTACGAGAGAGGTAGGGAGAGTGCCGTTTGGCTCGTGAGATCCTAGCATTATTTTATCAGTTGTCGTTATGGAGCCTTGGACGATGGAGCACCGCGTTTTCGCCTATGATTGTTTCGTCCGAAATCATGAGTCAGCCAGCGTCGTACAGCGTGAGTTTCGTCGCCACTTCAACATTCATCGGGATAGAGCTGTTCCCTCACGAAACACCATCCTTCGTTGGGTTGAATCACTTCGCAGGCGTGGTGAACTGATCAACAGAAGACAAAGAGGAGCGCCACGAACAGTTCGAACTCCTGAAAATGTTGGACGCGTTCGACAGGTCTTTCTTCGCAGTCCAACTCGATCTGCCCGGAAACATGCTGCTGCACTTCGCCTTAGTGATCGTTCGGTAAGGCGAATTTTGCATATGGATTTTCGCTTTCACCCCTACAAATTGGCCATTGTGCAACATTTACAGCCCGGAGGTTATGCACAAAGAATGAACTTCGCACGTGAGATGGAAGCACTGATCGATCAAAATGAGAACCTCATTTTGTTTATGAGTGACGAAGCCCACTTTCACCTAAACAGCATGGTTAACCAGCAGAATTGTGGTTATTGGGCTAATGAAAATGCGCAACAGTTACACGAAAGACCGCTGCACAGCCCAAAAGTAACGGCTTGGTGCGCTGTATCGCACACTTGCATCATTGGCCCTTACTTCCTCGAAGACGGTAATGGTCGTGATGTTACCGTGAACTCAGAGCGCTACGTCGACATGATCACCAACTTCTTTCTCCCTTAATTCCGACATCGACATGTTCCAATCTGACGTGTGTGGTTCCAGCAGGATGGGGCGACCGCCCACACAGCCCGAGCGTCCCTGGTCGCCCTATTTCCAGGTTTGGCGATGTTGACTGGCCTCCTCGGTCCGCAGATTTATCCATATCCATAGAGTATACCCGAACAAGCCCCGAACTCTGGACGAATTGAAGGGCGAAATTCGCGTGGAAGTCGCCCAAGTTGAGAGAGCGATGTTGGAGAGAGTCTACGCGAACTTCCAAGAACGCCTCTATCACTGCATCAACGATTTCGGCCACCACATGCCTGATGTGATTTTCCACTCTTGACTGTCTTAAATGCTATTGCCTTGTGAACCTGATTCCATCAATAAATTTGTTTTCGAGTAAAAATTAACTGTTTTATGATTTTTTCAAAACCGTCCATCCTCTCTGCCGCGCCCTGTAATATGATATGTCAAACATGGAAAACTAAAGCGATTAAGCAAATTTACAGCTTATATGACTAGACAAGCAATACAACTAGACATAAAAGAGTAAAAGCAAATCGTACCAAGACAAAACGTCTTAACGGATGCAAGCAAATGTTCTTACATTTATAAGAAACATGCAACTGTTCACAAAATTGAATTGTCAGCGAGGTGTTCAGGAACACATTCTGGGACAGGAAAAAGCTTTTATGACCACCCTTAGGCAGAAAACTACTGCCATGTCCCGCTACCCTTTTCTGCCCAAAGTGTGAGATTATCGAGTATGCCGTCTGTCGTTAGCTACTCATCCCACTACGGTAATGATTGCATCATTTCGCCATGGTGGGTAGCGTTGCGATTATATTCATAACAAAGGTCTTTGTCGTGCATAATACATTCTTACTTATGTATGTCTACTGGCCAGCAACTGGAAAAACTTTCATTAGTCTGAACCTTGCTCAGCATCATCCGCTTCACTATCAGTGTTGGTTAAATGTCAACCCATTTACTCTCGCTTACATGTCCCAATCTCAGTTGGCTCTGATGTCTTCGTTGCAATATACGCGTACATCCTCTCTCTTTCCTACCTTCTTCTGGTAGCTGTCAAAACTACAATGTCCTGTGAAGAACTGCGAAGTTCTAATATTTTAGACCGTAGGCTAAATCTCTGGTCTAAAAGACATGAGTAATTCATTCTGTCACGCTCGAAATAAACGATGCTATTTATATATATATATATATACGTTATATATATATATATATATATATATATTTAATCTAACATCTGAAACGTTCCCTGTGGCATTTACGTTGAGAGGACTCCATGATTGTCTGGCCAAATGAATTCACATAAATGTATAAATTACTTTTTTACTGGTATTTCGGCCACCATGGTAATAGTTTACACGTATGTGCTTTTATTCAGCCAGACAATCATGGAGTCCTATCCATAGTCCTCACTCGGACCTGCAGTTAGAATTATACATGAACATCTTAGTACTGCCTTAGGGGCAGGTACATCAGTAATGATCCTAGTTTGTGCTAGATTCTCATTAGAGATTTATAAAAAGCTGTCTCAGCATTGCCTAGAACAGCAAATCTGTTATGAATGTCGAATTACGTAGGATGTTGGTGGAACAAGCCGATTTTTATTTTTATATAAACATATCAAATTGCTACCGGATAACAAATAAACCTTTGGGTTTTGCAAATATAATTTTTACGGGCTACACTACTTGTTGCTATGCTTTTCTCGATATCCTTAGGAAAATTTGTTGTAGGATAAGTAATATTGTTTACTTTACTTTTCACGCTCAAGGTATCCAAAGAATTTGAAGTTTCTTAAAAATAGTTGTAGAAAGTGCTCTAGACCATTTTTGTACCATAATCTTGGCTGACCGCATATAAAACAATAAATCCCTAAGTCCCCATATAAGACTTTGGCCACTACCAAACAAATGTAACTTACGTGGGTGATAAATGTAGCGTTTCAACAACAATAGACAATAAAACTGTCAAACAAAAATGTATTTCCTGAGAGTGATAACAAATAAATGAGAATTCATTGGGCGATTTTTTTTTTCTATAATTACTTCCAATCTAAACACAATAATACTTTTACGAAAGACCGATTATTTTTGCCTGACAGCAAATCGGCTTTAGCTCCAAGGGTTACCGGGGTAGATAAGATCAACTAGCAGATACTACCCAGCTAAATAAGCAATGGAAAATAGCAACAGTCGACGGACCATAATGGTATCTCAGACATCTACCGTCTTATTCGAATTCTGCGAACCTGACAGTAGGGGTTTGCCTGAATTTGCTTTTTCTTTCGTTACAAGGTATCTCAAACTCCTCTTCAGAAAGCACGTATCAGAATCAAAATCACTTGACCGGACTGACATCACAGTGACAAACGGTGACGAGAATCGGTAAAGTCAAGTCGTCGTTGGTTGTCAGAGCGGTCCATTGGACCTTAGCTCTTGAGTCACAGTGTCAGTTTGTAAATCTGTCAGGTGTGGCAACCCAGAAACCAGACAATTTCAAGGAAAAAAGGGGAGGAAATGAGAGAAGAAAGAACGAGAGCAAAGGAGAAGAGGAGAATCTTTTAGGATAGGCAGCGGTTAGGCATTGTTCAAATTGCTTGACAGATTTTGATATGGTCTAAAAATATTCGATTTTTTCTAAAGATTTTGTAAATATGCTCCAATTTTGGTTGTTCTAAGTTCAAGACTTAATTTTGATTACAGTGCGAGCCGCGGCCTTTTGTGCTTGCGAACTTGCTAGACTGTGTAGTCCACTGAATCACGCAACAGAGTGTTTCTGTGCGATATGACCAACCTATAGAGTCGAATCTTGTTAATCAATCAATCAATTTTGAACGTTTACATAATAATGGGTAAAGCTGTCAAAACGTAATTTGGACTTTAGTTTTTAGCGCTTCTATACGGTTCCGCCAGGTCATCCCTTTGTCTAGAATGACACCGAGATACTTAGCGGAGGATTCCCATGGTATACGAAGACCATTCATTCAAACTTCAGACTGGACACCGCGACGTCTTTTTGTACAGTAGATTGCCTGCGTTTTCGAATGGTTAATTTAATTAGCCACCGATCCGCTCAATCTAATACTTCCTCCACCGCACCTTGTCGCCTGTCATGGACTAGGTGATCAGACCACGACTGAGTCATCAATGCAGTATCATCAGCATAGAGATAGACTTCACAGTTGCTGAGACTAAGGACGTCCTGGATGTACAGTGAGTAAAGGATAGGTCCATGGACCGAATCCCACTAGCCTAACCGCCTGTAGCTCCGTACGATGTTCAGACCGAAAACCGAATAGCACGTTAGGAATCACATGGCGATCTGATGAGAAATTCTCAAGGTGACGTAGAATCACTTTTCCAGCGAGCTTAGACGGAGCTGACAGCAGGATAATGGGACGCTAATCCTGGGGAAATATCGAACCCACCTTCTTTGGAATCATTCAGCGGTCTTCCACGCGGATCGGAAGTACTGGATCCTTAGCATGGCCTTGACTATTGCCGCGAGATAAGTTAAGAACTTTCGCGAAAGCAGCTTCAGCGCCTTATTGGTGATTTGATCCTCCTCAGGTACTTTACGTACTCAAAGGTCCTTAATATGTGCAATGCGGGATCTCGGGAGACGCCGCTGATGTGCTAAGCAGATCTTCGGTTGAAGAACCTTCTGAAGAAGAATCTTCTGATGAAGAAAGATCACCAACGGTAGCGCGACTGTCACTGACGCCGTTGGCCCTAGAATATCTCCTGACAGATCTTACGATGTGTTGCACCTCATCAAGGTCATTATCAAGGTCATAGTTGGGAGAGAACTGTCTTTCCATGAAGACATTGCCTCCAGGACCGTGGGTATGTGGGATTTGTTCACGCTTTCCATTTTTGAGCGACTTGGCCACATTCCCGAGAGGAATGCTTGAGTCAAGCATCCCCCCAGAAAGTTGTTCCATTGCTCATTGCGGAATTCATGAAGAACATTTCATACTTTATGAACAAGATTCGTAGCTCTGCGAATGTCATCAGGACGACAAGACCTTTTCGCTTGTTTAACTGCACCCCTTCTGTCAGAAATTTCTTGACGAATGTCTGCTGGCAGAAAAGGTCTGCCGTGTCGCTGCATGGGAAGTAC